TGCACCCAAGAAAACTATGTCCAGCCCCGTTGACGGATAGCTACTTTGGAAAGACACTGTGATGCAATTCTAGACGCTACAAAGAAACAAACTGTCCCTATATTACTGACTCTTCAACAGGAGAGAAACAAATGGTAGCGTGTATCTGGGCTGTCTCTACCATGTTCCAAGATGGCAGGGTCACTTCCACCGCTTCTATGGTAATTTTTTTTTTTCAGCTTGGAACCGCCCAGATGCACCCCCACAAGGGCAGCAATTCTGCTTTCTTTGAAAAGCGTCCAATGTTTACACAGAGGTGGGCAAGTTGATTTGCACTTCTGATTGGGGGCGTTCATATACTTGCCAGGTTAATGGCACTCAGATCCAGTTAGAGTGTATGCCTTGCCAAATTACAGATTCTTGGGCCTGACACTTGCCCCTTTTCTTGGTGGTTCTGGGTATGCTGAATGTGTGATAAAATGGAGGCCTACTTTGGGGAAAACAAGTAGGAGCAGAGCTAGCGGGGAGGCAAGGCATTGGCCATGCTCCCAAAGTATCCATAGACCAAGACAGGATAAGGACAAACTGGTAGCCCGGGGCTGGGCTAACTCTGGGAATGTGTGAGGAGGGGAAGAAAGGTGTAACTTCAAGACAAGGAAGGAAATGGCAGAATCACTGCTGCTAGGACTCCCACTGGTGAATGAGAGAAACTAAACTTGAATAAGTTTTGCCTGAGGAGGGTTTTATTAGAAGGATGCCGTCATGTTTCCATAGTAACCAAATGGGATTAATGCAACTTCATCTCAGGGTCTTGAAGGCTGTCAAGACCAAGTCTCTTTAACAGTCCCCACAGCTTCTCTGTGTTGTGACAACATAAGCCAGTTTCTTCCCTCTAACCTCCCGAACACTGCGACCCTTTAATACAGTTCCTCATGCTATGGTGGCTCCAACCATAAAATTATTTTCATTACTACTTCATAACTGTAATCTTGCTACTGTTATGGATTGTAATATAAATACAATGCATGCAACCCCTGTGGGGTAGGGGGGGTAATTCTTCCAAGTTTCTGATTGTTGTGGCCACGTCCCTTTTCCTTAGACTCAATGTAGAGAAACAGAGGAAAAGGGATTCAGGGATCAATCTGGGCTCATCTGAGAATGTGAGGTGTGTTTATTAGCTACTACACATGGCTGGAAGAGAAGGCAAAGGCCGTGTCTTGGGAGAGAGGGGCTGTTCTTTAGGAAGAGAGTAGACTTGACAAACAAAACAATACGCCTCTATTTTATGATCTGTTAAGAAGGTCGGAATAGAGATCCTCATATTCAAATAACTATAAACAGAAGACAAAACCATCTGCTAGTACCCTGTCACATCTGGCTTCGTGTTGTCCCTGGAGCCAGCCTGGTATGGCTTGCAGGTCCCTCGTATCACTTTTAATTAAGATTCTATGAGAGTTGAGGTCTCTGGGAAGGGAGGTCTTATTAGAAATTCTTGCTGAGTTACTGGGTTAGACAACCAGCCAACGTGGTATGGGGTTAGAAGCTGTAACTTTGGTTATTTTTTCCCTCCTTTGTTTCTCCCTTCACTTTCCCTCCTTACATTTGACACCAGAGGCTCTTGCCTACATTTTGTGCATCCAATACAGCCTCCTTAGTCAATACTCCTACCCAGAATGCACCTGGAGAAACGTCTTTACTTTTTGCTTGTGGCATGCTGTTGCACTATCTTTCTCATGTTTTGCAGAACACTGGAGCTTACTTCTACAGTAGACAACTGAACCAAGAGCCTCCTTATTTAGAAATGGGACAATTAAGAACACTTATTGATGTTACTGTCTTTAGGACAACGCTTAGCGGCCTCCCTTCCTCAGTCCCAAGTTTTCTATGAATGCACAGATACCCATGGTGTTTTAAGTCACTGATTCCTTAACCAAGCCATGTGCTTAGCCAGCACAATGGCCCTCATAGGTCACCCTCACTGTAAGAGATAGGTATCAGCTCAAGATCCCAAGACCGAGTTCTCAGCACAGAGATGGATTTGCTCCAGATGGACAGAGGGCAGGGATAAGGGACAAAGACAAGAGAGAGGAAGATGAAGAAGGGGAGGGAACAAAGGAGAGAGGAGAAAAGGGAAAAGGGGGAGGGATAAGGGGTATTTGTCTCTGGGTAGAGAGGAGACAGAAGTGGCCCATTGGAAAATGGTTGTTTATAAAGGTAAATGGGAAGCCCTGGGATAGGATGAGGTGTTTAATTTAACTGGCATGTTAATTAGATGAGCCAAAGGGGGATTTTAGTTACTGGACTTCAATGCTTTGATAGCTGGCCCTTGGTAGTCAGCGTCAGGAGGAGGAAGTAGCCAAATAAGAGACTAGAGCTTGGTGACTAGCTTTAGGAATGTGATCTAACAGTGTTCAGCAAGGTGGAGGGGATGGGGGCGAAGGGCAAGGCGTGCCAGAGCCACGTGCTCAAGTGTGCTAATCTCAATTCACACGGCTCCTTCATAATTGTCATTCTTTTCTGAATTTCCTTTACATGTCCCTTTCCTGGGACCTTGGGGAGTTGGTAGGGCACAGAGTAATTCTTGTCTTATGTGAAGGAGGCCAGCCACAGCTGATGTCCGGCTCTATGTTAATCAAACGCTCAGGCTTTTCGGACAGATCCCTTGATTTCTTGCTTTTCCAGGAACATTACCAAAATTTTTAAAAAAATGGCGCTGGGAAATAAGACATTGAGTTTATAATATTAACTGTCTGCAGAGATGGCTCGCCAGGTGAAGTGTTTGGTCTGCAAATACTGCGACCTGAGTTCAGATAGCCAGCAACCACATTAAAAGCTAGGAGTTGTGGTGTCCTTCTGTAAGCCCAGCACTGGGCAGACAGAAACAGGCAGATCCCAAGGACCCTGGCCAGCCAGCCTAGCCCAGTCAGTGGGCTCCAGGATCAGTGAGAGCCTGTCTCAAAAACACAAGGTAAAAAGTAAAAGAGGAATGAAGACACCCAAGGCTGA